AAATAATAGGAGTGAGCACTTAACATATTCTCCTACTTTCATCATAAGCTAAATTTCTAAGTGCCCAGATTATGTACTGTTTTAATTTTCTAACTTTCAAAAATACATCTTTTTCTAAAATTAAGTCAGTCAGCAGATAGAGATGGGAACAAGGCAGAGCAAAGACTGCCCATATTTTTGCATCTTCCTCTGTAAACAAAGTATTCCAAAGATTTATGGACTAGTGAAACAAAATGAAAAATACATTCAAGAAACAGAGAGAAGTTTCCCATCCACCAAAAAATGTTCCACAGTAACATCCTATACAGCTTAATTCAAGTCTGGAGAACTTATACTCTGTATTCTAAATGCATCTTTAGTTTTCATGGGATATAATTACAGAATGGCAAAGACTGGAATGGACCTCAGGAGATTATATAGCCCAATCACTGTGCTCAAAGTCAGGACTGCTAAAGCAGGTTGCTAAGGCTATTGTGCACTCAGGTTCTGAGGATCAACATGGACGGAAATTCCACACGCTGTCCTCTGATCAATGTCATCTGTCAGGTTGGCCAAGCATGATACCTCCTGTGGTAATCAATGCCAGCTACTCCAAATAACCTTCTTGTGCTTCCTGTGTTTAAAAATGGTTTCAATAATTCTTTGCTCCATCACCTTCCCAGAGACAGATTTTAGGTTGATGGGCCTCTAAGTGCCTGAATACTCCTTCTTACCCTTAATGAAGATAAGAAGTGACTTGGCTTTCTAGCAGCCCTCAGAAACCATCCCCAGATCTCACGATCTTTCAAATGCTATTGAACAGTTTTTGCAATGATATCAACCAGTTCCCTCAGTACTCATGGATGCACCCCATCAGGTTCCCTTAACTTCTCTATGTCAGGTTTGTCCAAACATTTCAGTCTACTACTCTTCTACCAAAGGTAAGTCTTCCTTGCTCCAGACTTTCCCTCTGGTCTCAGGCCTGGGCTCCTGAAGGCAAGCCTCATCACTAAAGACTGAGGCAAAGATGACATTGAGTACCTCAGCCTGTTCTGTATCCTTTGTCACCAGATTCTATGCCCCTTTCAGCAGAGGACCCACATTTTTTCCATTCTTCTTGTTGCTGCCAATGCATTTGTAGAAGCTCTTCTTTTTGCCCTTCACATCCCTCACCAAATTCAACTCCAGGTGGGCTCTGGCTTTCCTAATCCCATCCCTGCATACTCAGACAGCACTCCTATGGTTTTCCTGAGTCACATGACTCTGCTCCCACCTCTAGCACATTTCCATCTTATGTTTAGATTTTGTCAGGAGCTCCTGGTACACCCATGCAGGACTCCTATCACCTTTTCTTTATTTCCTCCACATCAGGATGAACCACTCATGAGCTTGGAGGAGATAATTTGAAAAACATGCAACCTCCTAAGCTCTGCATCTCTCTAACACACGCCATTCTCCTAGGCTACTCCATTAAGTAACTCCACCTACTGAACAGATGAAATGTTTCTGCCAAAGATACATGTTGAAACTTCTGGAAAACCTCTTAATACTATATTATGTAAGTAACATCACTTTTATTGACTGAAAATTGAAACACTATTTTGACACAATGATTTTTGCCATTTGCTATTTTAGTTGCATCAAAATGAACAAGCAAGATAATATGAAAGCAATGCTATTATTTTAGCACTGTCCTAACTCATTAGTAATCATGCCTCTCACAATCCAAACTTGAAAGACACAAGTAAATTGAAGAAATACAAATGTAAGAACATGACAAAAGGCCTTTTCAGTTTTATTTACACAGGTATTACTCCTCTGCTTCATCTGTTAAATACATTATTTTTTTTATAACTTACCACTACATTAAACACAATTTTTTATTTAAAGAAATGTGCCTCTCATCACCTGACACTAACATTTTGCAGTGTCTGGTGAGAAAGACAAACTCAATTACAGCTTATAAAGCTAACAAATCAAACTGCACATGTTGAAGTTATGATGGCATATTAGCATCCAGGGGGAAAAAAAAGTCTCAACTGCTAAAATGTGGAATAAGTAGCATTTCACAGAAGTTCACTTTAAAAAAAAAAAAAATAATAAAAAAAATAATAAAAAATTATTTCCTCTACAAATATTTCTTTTAAATTGACCTCTTATTTGGACTGCTCATAGCACTTTGACATGTCCTTACTTAATTTGCTGCTGCAAAAGCTAAAGGAAGGAAAGAGTAAAATTTTATTAACCAGTAAAATTTGCACCTCAATTGACATCAACTATTTATTTTAATATAGATGAGTCTCTATAAACTCAGCCAAAACATAAGAGTGTTCCAGTTGAAAACATGATCTCCACAAGCCAGGACCAGCCTTAGGGATAGAGATTTTTTTCAGTGCAATATGGAATAGTAAATAAACACATTAGAAGCAAGGACAGGATTAACTTTTATTTAGCGAAATTAAACAACTAAATGGAAATCACCAAGAATTAACTCCAGCAGTGTTCTTGCAAAAGAGAAGTATTTCGACGAGCATTTTTGCACACTTCAGCGTACATTGAGTAGAGCTCTATCTCCACCTACTGGGCCAGCTATAAAAACGCTTGTCGTTTGAAAACGGCCCGGGAGCACCGCAAAGCTACCTGTACGAATATGCAGCTCAATTATGTCGAAGATACTAGTCTGACAGAAGTTTTTCTTCTCCTTCCTATCACCTCTATACATGCCACATGTTTAAGGACATTATACTTCATTGTTTAATCTCACCTAAACCCGTTCTTAAGCTTGTGTCCCAAGCCAAAGACTACCAACCTACCTGTCAGAATACACAGTAACTGCACCCTTCTGCGTTCACAATATCGAGGCTGAGCACGTAAACTTTTATGCCTTTGGATTGTACTGGATTTAAAACAGTGCAGGACTATCAGCACAGACATAACACGGATGATAGGTTTTTTGGTTGCTTTGGTTGCTTTCTTGAGGGTGTGTTCCTATTCTGACCTATGTGGCCACAACCACACTGATGCCAGCATTTCAAGCTTCACACAAGAAAACTCAGTTTCTCCTCCGGACTATTCTCTATTCTTTCCACCAACAGCCAACATTCTGCTTCCTGAAAGACTGTGTGTACGTTTGTACATGTTTGTTTAATTGCTCCTTCCCACACATCAAAGGAGCACACAAACTTGCCCATTATCTAACTTTTCCCTCTGTTCTGTCAGAGAGATGACTCACTCATGAGTCATCTTTGTAACAGTCAAACTTCTAGATCATCATTTACTAAACCATTTCTTCACCAATAACAGAAGCACGTGGGAAAATCGATCTAATTCAACACTTGTTTCTGGTAGTGTCCCCATCTTCCTATCATACAAAAAAAATCCAATCAGAAACTGTTCTCTTCAGTACCATTTTTTTTTCTGTGTTTGTGCCTTAGTCTCAGTTTAACAGGTTCATGCGCACCTTACAGAAGGTACAAGTACTCCTCAAGCAGCTCCCACAAAAAAAACCCGAACACCCATACAGAGCTTCCGTCATCAAAGCAATTCACCCATGCCACTCCCGAGTCTGCCACTGCGCACAGAAAGCAGGCTGTACAAATTCTAATCCCCAAGAAGACCATTATTCCTTTCCCACATAAATCACCGAGACTCACTTTAAAAGCACAAGTCAGTCAGATCTCACTCATCCACAGAAAAGGCTTACTACATACACAGAGACTACCAAAACTATGGTGGAGGTATAACACCATCACTGCCTTCCCTTACCAGAAAAATAAGTTAGTGAACTAACTAAACAAAGGTGGTAATCACTACTCTGACTAATTAGTAGTCGATCTGCTTATAGAATTCATATTTCATCATACTGATTTTGCATACTGAGAATACTACTTTCCATTCTTTCCTTTATTCAGCCTCTTGCTTATTCCTAAGCCCTTTCAGGATGCTCTTCTCTCCACTCCACAAGTAACACCAACTAAGATACTACCTTAGTTACCCTGCAGTGCTCAGTCTTTGCTTTTCTTCATTTCAAGATTCCATCCTTTTACCCTGAATGCTACACAATCCAATTCAGACTTTTCTTTAACTGTTTTATGTTTTGGTATTTCAGGAAACAATCTGCACTAAGTATGTCATTATTTAGGCGAGTCTGGTTATGCTGTACAAATGCATATACAATAAATAGAGCCTAGACGTAAAATACAATTACAGCAACTACTTCCCACCAGAGAGAATAAACATTCCTTCCAATCTGCTTCCTCAAGTCACCTGCAATGGTATGTCAATAATTCCACTTGCTAAAAGTAATAAAAGCCTCCCACTGAGAGTTTAGCCTCTAATCTCTGTAAAATGCTTAAGAGGAAAGATCTGTCTTAACGTTTTGCACCCTGACAGCACTATACAAACATAATTGCCCAAAATACACAGATTGTGTTAGAGTAACTGATGGAAACTACAATTCCAAGTCAGAACTTCTGTTAAGCCTCAGATGTAACAGTGTTAACACAAACGAGTGGGATAAACCTCCCAAAAGCCACATTTCTTGTAACTTGTTTCTCACATTTGTTATAAGCCATTCCGCGCTTCTCAGTAGCTTTTACAAGCACTTCTTATGAGATACATTTTGCACTGAATTCACAAAAAAAGAGTTTATGTTTACACTCGGGGATAGGTTAAGCTTTCATTTTGTTTTCTAACTGAGAGATGAAGGGAAACTCAATTTCTAAGACCAACCTAAGATACTGAAAGTACCAAAAAATTATCTGCTGCTCAAAACAAACATGCAGCAGTCTGTATCTCCCTGCCCGAAAGCATATATACAACAGATTATTTGCTGCTGTTCAAAAGATTTATTGCACTTTACGTAATACACAAAAACAAAGAAAGAAGAACACCAAAATCCACAGAGAAAACATTTACAACATAAAAAGTAAAATACAAGGCAGGCGAAGGTGTAACAGAAGACAGAAATAAAAAGCTATCCCTGTTTAATATATATTTAAGTACAGTAAAAATGTTAGTACCTCCTATTTTCAGCCAAACTTGCACCTTCATCCTTCAGCTCCTTACTTTTCTTTACACAGTCTTCTAAGAGAACCTCCTTCTTTCTCTTACTTGCATGCACCCAGTTGGCGTCATCATCATCAGCCAGATCCTTGTCATCCGCAGCTTCCGCTTCAAATTGCTGAGAAGTAGCTTTTGAAACTTTCTCACCAATCTTCCTCTTCCACCCAAAAGAAGCCATTTGGAGAACTAGAGAAAAACATATTTTCAGTAGTCGGGTAGCTTAGCTTTTTAGTACAGAATCATAGAATTTTGGCTGAAAAAAACAAACCCTCAACGGGTAACCTAGCACACTGCCAAGTCCACCACTAAACCATGTACCAAAGCACAACATCTACACATCTTCTAAATACCTACAGGGATGGTGACTCCCAACATCTCCCTGGTCAGCCTCTTTCAATGCCTGACAACCCTTCCAGTGAAGATTTTTTTTCTCCCCAATCTAAACCTATTGTGTTAGAGTAACTGATGGAAACTACAATTCCAAGTCAGAACTTCTGTTAAGCCTCAGATGTAACAGTGTTAACACAAACGAGTGGGATAAACCTCCCAAAAGCCACATTTCTTGTAACTTGTTTCTCACATTTGTTATAAGCCATTCCGCGCTTCTCAGTAGCTTTTACAAGCACTTCTTATGAGATACATTTTGCACTGAATTCACAAAAAAAGAGTTTATGTTTACACTCGGGGATAGGTTAAGCTTTCATTTTGTTTTCTAACTGAGAGATGAAGGGAAACTCAATTTCTAAGACCAACCTAAGATACTGAAAGTACCAAAAAATTATCTGCTGCTCAAAACAAACATGCAGCAGTCTGTATCTCCCTGCCCGAAAGCATATATACAACAGATTATTTGCTGCTGTTCAAAAGATTTATTGCACTTTACGTAATACACAAAAACAAAGAAAGAAGAACACCAAAATCCACAGAGAAAACATTTACAACATAAAAAGTAAAATACAAGGCAGGCGAAGGTGTAACAGAAGACAGAAATAAAAAGCTATCCCTGTTTAATATATATTTAAGTACAGTAAAAATGTTAGTACCTCCTATTTTCAGCCAAACTTGCACCTTCATCCTTCAGCTCCTTACTTTTCTTTACACAGTCTTCTAAGAGAACCTCCTTCTTTCTCTTACTTGCATGCACCCAGTTGGCGTCATCATCATCAGCCAGATCCTTGTCATCCGCAGCTTCCGCTTCAAATTGCTGAGAAGTAGCTTTTGAAACTTTCTCACCAATCTTCCTCTTCCACCCAAAAGAAGCCATTTGGAGAACTAGAGAAAAACATATTTTCAGTAGTCGGGTAGCTTAGCTTTTTAGTACAGAATCATAGAATTTTGGCTGAAAAAAACAAACCCTCAACGGGTAACCTAGCACACTGCCAAGTCCACCACTAAACCATGTACCAAAGCACAACATCTACACATCTTCTAAATACCTACAGGGATGGTGACTCCCAACATCTCCCTGGTCAGCCTCTTTCAATGCCTGACAACCCTTCCAGTGAAGATTTTTTTTCTCCCCAATCTAAACCTCCCTTGGTGCAACTTGAGGCCATTTCCTCTTTTACTATTGCTTAGTACTTGGAAGATCAGTCACAGGTTATGGATAGGATTTTCTCTTGCCTGTTACTACCGTTTTTCAAGGCTGACTCAAACCTAGCTTTGTGGAAGGAAGGAAGGAAGGAACACACCCCGGTTCTAACCCAGGAATGTGTACCAGACTGCCGCTCCTCTGCACAGCAACAGCTGCCCATTCAGAGCCGTCAGGCAGGCAATGAGAACTCTGAGTCCGGCTGGAAGATGCTCTCCAGCACGGGGAAGACATAAAACCCAGAGTTCTGACACATCGGAACGCCTCACGATACTGAAGGCAACACACCGGAGACCA